CAGATTTAAAGGGCACATGCCATATCTGTCCCGTCCTGCTGAGAGGACAGGAGAAAGACTGAGGAGCCATGGTATAAGTTCATATGCAGTCACATGCAAATTTTATTCCTGTCCCCTGAGAGGGAAGAATTTCGAATTTTTAGCCAGGGAAATGTTATTTAATAACTTGACCGCTGATGGTATTTAATTTCCAAATGCATACTACTGTATAATGAGGTCTCGTCATTTAATGAAAGACTTCTATTTTGGGTATGGAATCCAGATGTTCTGGCATGGTGACTGTGCTGTCCCCGTTGTGAAATATCAATACACTTATTTTATCTGTTGGCAAATCCAGTAACTATATATTTGGTGCTTACTGTGGATGAAATGGTGTCTGAGACCATTTAGTCATTTTGATAACACTAAAAAATGCAAGCTGTAGTAAGGACTTTTTGTTCAGTCTTTTACTGAGTGGTCTTTGATTTGTTTTTGTAAAGCAATTTACCTCCAAGATACCTTGTATTTTCATCGCCAGTATTTTCTTCTTTATCTGCTATGCGTATGTGTATACACATTTGGTTATGTTTACTTGCTACCATTTATTGTTTTATGGCCAATATTGATTATATTATTTACCATATTGTACCGAGGATTATTTAGTGATTGTGGTGTTCGGCAAAATGTATTACTTTTTTATATACCTAAATATGCAGTAAAAAAATAAAACCTGTTCATTCCACCCCCTCCAGTGTACCACATAACTAATTATTTACTTTATTTAGTAGTCACTTTTGTGACAGACCAGGTTGCCATCTCAAATAAGTATGATCTGACATTTTTACTTTTAATGGGATCTGAATTTGTTCTTCTTAAAGTGTGTTTAATAAGCTTCATTTGAATGTTTTCTAAAAAGCATACTACTTGTGAAAATTATGTTATTGGTGTTTAGCACAATCTATCATTTATTCACATATCCTGATTTTTTTTTTTTCCCCACACAGTACATTATAATACATACATTATAATCTAGTATTTAGGTTTGTGAAAATTGGCACTCAATCTTTAACTAGGTAATCAACGGGCTGAGTGCCAGCTCTCTATTCTTTATCTATGCAGGCTGTCATTCATCCAACAATCTTTTCAAGCAATAAACTTTTATCTTTTTTTAATTGAAGGCCCTTGTTGTTTAAGTTGTTTTGGCATGTTGTCTTTTGCGGAATGCCTGCCAACTACTATCAATACTTCTTTTTAGTATGTTAAGCAATACTGCTTTAGCATGTTAAAGCAACACTACTATAGCTTTAGGAATACAAATCTGTATTCCTAATGCTATACTGTCCCCACTCCTGGTGCATTAAAACAATTTAAAAAATACTCACCTTTTACTCCATCAGAGCTGCTTACCTCTCAACCTCCTGCAACATTACCTCTTCTGCCGATGTCCAAATTAATGAGATCTAATACTCATGCACATTCAAACTTCCCTGTAGGAAATAATTAAATGAATGCATCTCATCACTTGACCAAGTTTTACTCGGTCAGTGCAATGGAAGCTGCTCTAGTGGCTGTCACACTGAAGCCACTAACAGTGGTCTTAACCCTGCTAGGTAAACATTGTGGTTTCACAAAAAAAGGTTTTACATTACAGTGTTAAAAGGACAGGGACACTGCACCCAGACCATTTTATTGAGATTGACACATCTCTTTAAAGCCTATGTGACTATGTGACTGGTCTTGGTGAGTATAGTGTCCCTATAAGCAAAGACAGCTGAACAGATCTGGCAATTTGTTCTTTCCTCAATAATTTAGATATAATACAAAGTAAATCAAGAAGCCACATGTTCCAGAAAGTAATTTATAGCATGGCATGCCTGATATTTTGCTGGTTCTTAAGGAGTAAAGAAGTTGATTTATTTTCTGCTGCTATGGTAACTCGGAATTTTAACTCTACCAGTGTCAGAAGACAGAACTAACATACCTGCAGAGGATGTATAAAGCAATAATCTATAGGGGATTGGGCATTCAGAAAGGAAGAGGGATTGTGTTCCTAAATTGTGCTAATCTGCAGAGAAGGATGAAGGGCAGTTTTGATTAATCTGTGCTATACAATAGGCACATGATAATTCATTTGCCCAGCAGATTCTCAGTTATCAATTCCTGTCTGATTTATATTTTTTCTGTTCTGCTGTCTTGTTCAATCCTGTCTGTTATAATTGTGATCAGTCATTCGCCCAGTCCAATGAGCCATTAATTCATCCATCTGGTGTGCATACGTGTGTATTCATTGCTACGCACTATCTTCCTCTGTGTTCATGTATATTTGTAATTTGTTTTTATAGCTTTGATTTTTAAATAACAATCATGTGACTTGATTGTCTAATGAATTCATTGTGTTTTGTAAATGTGAAAAACCAAAATTACTACCAGAAAGTAATGTTCACCCTGACAAAAAAAGGATTTCTTTCACTCTCCTGATTGCCTAATTTACTTTCTTTAAAACACAACTCTATGCTGCTACCCATAATGCCTTTCACAGTTCCATTTTCCCTGAATACCACATTCTTTTCATATATCTTTCATATATCGTCTCCTTAAAAGCTCTTCCTATTACTCCCTGTAACCTCTCTTATTACAACTGCTCCTGATGCTCTGTATGACCTCCCCCGAATAATTCCTCTTATTACTCTGTATACCTCCCCTTATTAAACCCTTCTATTACTTAATGTACCCTCTCCCTATAACCCATCTTATTACTTTGCATAATCTTTTCTGTTAGTCTGTATAAACTCTCCTATAATGTCTGCCTATAACCCCTTCTTTTCAGGACCAGATTGTGCCTGTAGGCACAGAATTCTCAAACACCTCAATACCTTTTTAATCTAGTAAGAAAAAAATATATATTTGATCATATTAAACATGACACAAAGTGTGGTGTGTGCGTATTCCATTGTGGTGAGCAGTATGTAAAGCAGTGTGTGTAAGTAGTAGTAGTGTGTGTGCCTGTGTGTGCGTATATGTGTAGATTTTGCCCTAGGAGGAATAGTGTAATCATAGTGAGCACCTTTATACAATTTTTTTTTATCCATGTATAAATTATGTACCCTCCTTGAGTAACTTGATGCTATATGTATGTAAATGTAATTCTGGCCCCAGTCCTGTCCCTTTTCCTGGAAATTCCTCTCCCTCCTGCAGATCACCGTGTTCAGTCTGGGGGCATGCACAGATCACTGTGTTCAGGGAATGCACAGATCACTGTGTTCAGCCTGAGGGGGCGGGGCCATGTACAGATCACTAAGTTCAGTTTGAGGGGGCGGGGCCATGTACAGATCACTGTGTTCAGTCTGAGGGGGCGGGGCTATGCACAGATCACTAAGTTCAGTTTAAGGGGCGGGGCCATGTACAGATCACTGTGTTCAGTCTGAGGGGGCGGGGTCATGCACAGATCAGGATGCTCAGACTGTATAAAGCAATCGCAGAGTGCTGGAGCATCTGTACTTCAACAAGCAGCAGACACTAAATAGGAGGCAGGATGGGGCTTCTAACATGCAGAGTGGGCGCCCCATCAGTCATAAGCCTCTAGGGCGTGCCTATTATGCCTAATAGGAAATCCGCCCCTGCTTCTATTACTCCATAAAACCTTTCTCAATAGCTGTTCTTATAACTAATTATAACCCTTTTATTACTCAGTGTACCCTCTCTCTATAGACCCTCTTAGTAGTCTGCATTACCTTTGCCTGTAACCTCTCCTATTGCTCTGATGTCTCAATATACCTTGTATTGTCACTATAACTCCTTCGGTTTTTAATGTTCCTCCCATACACCATGATACCTGTTTAGGATGCTTGCTTTGCTGTCTGAGTTTGCAGCATTCTCCATGCTTTATGGTATGTGTGCATGACCCTGGCCATGTGCTCCGTGGGATGCCTGCAGTGTGACGGTCATGTTCACTGTGGAGTTTGTGCAGGATACGCTCTTTCCTGTGTGATGTATGAGCATTTAGTTCTGTATACCCTGTGAATGGGTGTATCATGCTAACCTTCCTTGGCTGTGGGATATATGATGGATGCTACCTGTGTGCTTAGCAGCGTGCATGTGTTAGATATGTGCTGTCTACACCGAGAATGCTGGCCTTCTCCACTGAACATTAATATAATTCAGATGTGTCCTGGCAGGAGGCATATAGCAGGAATATTTCTGCTGTGAGCAATGCTTCCAATCCCTTGCATTCCAGTGCTAATTAATATGAGTGAGCTAACCCTTTCCTGTACTCACTGAGATAATAGAAATAATACGTTAGACTGTATGTATTATCCCCCTGTCTCATCTTCTACAGATATAGTCTAGAAGAAAAATAATAAATCTTTTAAAACGTATAATAGATAAGTGAATTAGTACAGCAGGTAACCAGAATGGAAGCATGCAAACTACAGACTTAGAAAAATAGCCAAACCAGCTAATCTCCATACAATGCAACAGGTGATCAGCCTATTCCATAATGGAGTTATCACTGCAACCTTTAATGCCTGACTACATTTAAGGATTCCCTCTCCACTGCTGAACATGACATATGCATAGTCGCCTTTTTGGCATACTTTACAAAACCTTTCAAGGATACTCACACACCTTATTTTTGGGGAAATTATCACAGCTTTAATAATATAAATAAACATATACAATTTCAAGTTGTCAACATACTTAACCCCTTAGGGACCAAACATCTGGAATAAAAGGGAATCATGACATGTCACACATGTCATGTGTCCTTAAGGGGTTAAACATTACATATCAAACCCTTTAACAATTCTATAGGCAATGACCCACATCACAATAAATGATACCACATTATAACATAAACCATTGCCACAGAGTGCATGATTTTCCAGGTTTCACAATGTAGGGGTATTTCGAGATACACACTAGCTTGAACCTACCAATACCCTTCCAAACTGTGCTTAGTGAACTAAACTATTTTACATCTGGATAAACGACCTACACCTCAGCTTGTCTATCCATCCCTCGCCACAGCTCAGAGCTCAACTCCTCGAACTATCTGAGCGCTCCCACCAAAAACAACACCCGTTGTAACCTTATCTGAAACCCTAGCAATAAAAAATCCATACTGAGTTCCGAAACATTTACACCATCCTGCCTAAAATAACCTTGAATTAGGGCTTCCAAATCCCTACGCCTGACAACCACCCCACCCAAACGTCTAACAACAGTTGCCATCAACTTATTCACCTTCCCCTTGCTCTTGGCAACAGCCTTGGGAAATCTAGCGTGGCATCATTGTAACCATCTCCGACCATACGACAACCACGTCAGGGACCAGTTGCCTCGGCCTATCCATATCTCTCTTAATTCCGGGGATTAAATCCCTTTGTTAAACAAGTCCCAAATCATTCCCCCCCGGCATGAATCAAAACGATATTAGGCACGTGACCCTCACTAATCCTCTGGGAAAGCTCAAAACAAACCCCTTGCCAACTGAAACCCCAGAAACCAAACCACACAAGTTGCACCAATGAGCACGAAAAAAAAAAAGCTGAATGCCTTGATGACGAACTGCGGCTCTCGGGTGTGTCCAATACACATTCGAGTGTCCCATCAACCAAGCAATCCAACCTATGGAAGAAAAACATGTTATCAACAAAGAACAGAAATTACCACCCCCAACCTATACTTAAACTAAATGGATGGGCCTCACATCTTACCGATTCCCACCTCGCAATCTTTTTGACCAGGTCATCCCCTAATACCAGCTGAGATGCCTCCGTCGCAGCCCTAAACCTGAACGAATGTAAATGAATCACTACCTGATTCTGTTATACAACCGAACACTGTAACCCACCCCCACCCAAGCGTTTGCTGCTGACCAACTCATTAATCCTAAATGCCCCAAAGAAGGCCCAACTAAAAGCCACTAAAAACAACAGAACTTCATACTCCAAAAAAAACCTTTTTTTCAAAAGATACCTGTCTGCGCAAATCCTGCAACGACCTCCCTCTCCAAAACCCCTTAATTGCCTGACGCACAAGGAAATGTTTAGTTATATCCTCCCAACCATTAAGCTTCAAAAGAGATGCCAAAGCTGTCATATTACGCCCTATACCAGACAGGAATGCCCCGGAAGCAAACAACTGTCAAATGAACCATAACAGAGTGTCAAAAGGTGTCGCAGCACCACCAGACGGACGATAGCAGAACAATGGGGCAATCAGAATACACCCCAACTAACCACTATGATTAACAAAACACAAGAAACAATGGAAATGGACAAACTATCAGCCCTACTAAACGATACAACACGAAACTTCCACAAGATATGGGACCCATGGACCCAACACCACCTACTGGCACCATAAACGGAGGACCCGGGAACAAGATGCGATTCCTCCCCCCCCCCAAAAAAAAGACACCCTACTGATAGCACACTGGGACCCCACATAGGACCCCTCAACCCCTACACAGATCCCCCCCCCACACCAACCTCACAAATAAAAGCATAATCACAAGACTAGGGAACTCGCCCAACACAAAAACAAAATACCACACCTCGTACAACATGATCACCAGCAGCAGATACAAATATAAGAGAACAACCTCAGGCACTAGGCATAGACTCGGATCTCACCACACTGGAAACCCTCCACATCTACAGCCTAAACGAGACGACCCCCATGGGTTGAGACCACCAAACTCCCGCACTGACCGCACCCGTACACAAAACAGACACACCAGACCAAACCCCAGACCCAAATAAAACCGAAAGAGACACAAACCTGACAAACACAACACAGGAAGAGCCAAATACGCTCTCAGAGGCAAAGACGACAAGACCCAAAACCAAGTGACAACCTTCACCTGAGACATACAAAAACTGAACCACTCAACCCTAAGACTGACATGAGATTTCGCAATAAATCGTACTGATACCATTGAAATGAAACGAAACTGAAAATTATTGAATATCACTGCTACCCTACCCCTACCTTTATTCTGTACCCTTTACCACATCTAAACTTGTAAAATAAAGAATTTATAAAAAAAAAAAAAAAAGGTGTTTTAGCAGAGTCATGATCCTCATGTCCAAGTATTGCCAAGCCTTGACGGTGCCAACAACCCCCTTATAAGTCTGCCAATCAAGAGGTCCCGAGCTGCCACTCGTCCGCTAGACAAGACACACCCTCCTCCTGCGCGCCTGGAGCCGCCACCCGAAACCGCTCCCACTGAAAACAAGAGAGTGCATTAGCTACCACATTCAAGAACCCTGGCACATAATGCAGACTGAAAACAACATTAAACTGCATGCAAACGAGAACAAAGCGATGAAGGAGCAGAATAACAAGGATAGAAGAAGCAGATAAACCATTAACAGCCTCAACCACTGACATGTTGTCGGTAAAGAATATACCTTCCTGCCCCGCAACTGATGACCCTACAAAGCCAATGCTACAACCTAGGGAAAACATTCCAGAAATGCCAAATTGCAAATGAGTGAGCTGGCCTTCCACCCATCTGACCATGGTTCCGCACACCAATGCCCCGCAAAATAAATCCCAAACCCGATACTCCCCGACTTATTCATAAACAATTCCAAATCCCACGAGGAACCTGCCAATTCCTGGATATATGGCCATTAAAGTCCTGTAGAAAAAACAAACACATGTCCAAATCGTCCTTCATGGAAGCCGACACGCAAATGAAATGATGAGGGTATGCGATACTAGACGTCCTAGCTAAGAACCTGTTAAATACCCGACCCACAGGGATCACCCGGCATGCAAGTTTGGCCGGCCCACCAACAACTGAAGAGCCCTCAAGGTAACTTTCTACCCCCACCACCCCCGAACCTCCGCTACCGCCTGCTGGAGAGCAAGCAACTTATCTTCAGGCAACCGACATTCACCCAGGACCAAATCTATCTCCAAGCCCAAGAAGAACAAACAAGTAGTTGGCCCACCGTCTTGTCTCCTGCCAGCAGTATTCCCGAAGACATTCGAGACCAATTCGAGACCCATTCCAGTGCTTTCAACCTTATCCAGCACGCATCTGAACCCACCGGCCGAACACTAAGGAAATCATCAAGGTAATGTACCAAGAATCTAGTGCCTGCCTCAACCTTGACTTAAACATTACATATCAACCCCTTTAACAATTCTACAGAAAGGTACTGAACTTTTCCAAGTATGCACACGAGATGGAACAACCCATAGGCAAACATAGATCAATTAAATACTGCCCTTCGGAAAAAACAGCCCAGCAAATGATGACAGGTAGGGTAAATGGACAATAACCGAAAAGCAGCTTCCACATCTGCCTTGGCCATCAACGCCCTTTAGCCCATGCGCTGAACCAACTTGGCCGCTTGGTCAAATGATGCATACGACACTGAGCAAAGAGCCTTGTCAATATCATCATTCAGATACGATAAATGATGGATAAGCTGGTACTTACAGGCAGGTCCGTCTATAATATGAATAGGACCCTGGGCAAAGAATTTTGTTGGGCCCCCTGGGCCCTGCGACCCTCCCAATCCCCCCTCGCCCCCAATTACGCCCAACCCCCAATCACACTGACATACTGACACATACACACAGACAGACATATTAAAACATTCACAGATACATACTGACACACACATACACTGACACACAAATATATACTGGCAGACATATTGACACACATTCAGACATACTGACACACACATACATACACACAGACACAGATATACTGACACACAGACACATATACTGACAGAAATACTGACACACACACATACACTGAGAGAAGTATTGACACACACACAGACATGCTGACACACACAGGCATACTGATATACACACACTGACACAGACAGACATAGTGACACACACAAAGACAGACATACTGACACACACACAGACAGACATACTGACATACACACACAGACATACTGACACACACACAGGCATGCTGACATACACACAGACAGACATACTGACACACACACAGGCATGCTGACATACACACAGACAGACATACTGACACACACACAGACATACTAACATACAGACAGACATACTGACACACACACTCACAGACATACTGACATACATTTAGCCACCCTCCAACCACCCTTACCTTTTCTGGAGAGTGGTTTCCCTGGGGTCCAGTGGCAGGCTGAGTCAGTTGGGAGTTCTCCTCTGAAACTCCTCTCCTCCCTGCCTTCCTCCTCCCGCGCGGCTCTGATCTCCTGTAGGAGGAAGTGACGCGCGGCACTCACTTCCTCCCAGCCGGCTGCCAAACAGGAAGGGGCCCGGTCGCGCTGTTTAAGCGTCACAGCGCCAGACCGGGCTCCTGCTGACAAATGCCCACCAGGTGGCCCTTAGTGCATGGGCCACCTGGGGGCCCTCTTTAGCGTGTGGGACGATGTGGCTGCGCAAATCGCGGGGCCCACAGGGCAGCTGCTCTGGGGGCCCCCAGGAGCAACTGGGCCCGGGGCAGCTGCCCCGTTTGCCCCACGCTAAAGACGGCCCTGCTTACAGGTTCCTTCATTGGCATGACCCCCAAAGACGAAACCCGAATATCATGTAATGGGGTTCCTGACATCCTCCCCAACTGTACCTCCTTAAGCAGCTTCTCACTCACCACGGCAGGAAATTACCCTACTGACTTCAGATTCTGCAGATGACGAACAACCATTCGATCCCGAAACGGAAAAACGAACCCCTTCGTGAACCTGTCTCTCAATCACGTAGCATTCTCCTGGTTAACGTAACTGCTTAGCCACAGCAACATTACGCCGACATTCGCCGGCGACAACCTCAGAGGTAGAGGATGCACCGGATGCTCCATGCGTCCCTCCAGTGGATGAGGACTTACTCCTCCTGAAACATCGATTGTAGCATCATCTTGTATTTGTCTGTGTATATTGTACGTTCTCCACTAATTGTACAGCGCTGCGGAATCTGTTGCCGTTTTATAAATACCAGTAATAAATAAGTAATACATAAAATATATATATGTAAAAAAAATATATTAAAAGCACGTAATAATGCAATATGGTATAGATATAAATTAGACAAAAAGTAGTGAGTAATGGAATCTCACATTTGGTACAGCCTTCTGAATACAGGCTTCTATGCCTTTAAGGTGGCATTGCTACCTTTTTGCATGGCTGTACAGCATAGAACTCCAGCAGTATATAAATAGAAAGACAAAAAAAAACAAAGAACAAGCTAGATTTAGTTTGCAAGGTGCAAATAGGTAAAGTGATGTATCTGCAGGTGTCTGCTCCCCTTGTATTGGAGCCCATAAACGACTGGCTTCAAGTTTGTAGACGTAGTGTCAAATTCCAGGTGACACTGCACTTCTTTTTATCCCAGATACAATATTGGAAGGAACTCTATGTTTAACATAAGTTATTTATTAATCTAAAAACAAAACAAATGGTACAATAAAATACTCAATATATTTAACATAAGTTATTTATTAATCTAAAAACAAAACAAATGGTACAATAAATATACTCATATCAAGGTGTTCCTCTCTCTGAGACACATTTCAACCACCCCTGGGTTACCCCCCATATTGAGAATTTTAACAAAAGATTATTCCATTATCAGGTTTGATCAATGATTTTTTTCGTTAGATCTACACTAAAATATGCGATATTAACCCCTTCAGGACGGAGTCAATAGTGCACGTTCTGATCAAAACAAAACGTAAACAAAAACTGGAATTTGCACTATATGTCTGTTCAACCGTAATTCACCGCTGTCACATTAAGTGCACCCACACTTATTATATATCATTTTGTTCAGGAGAAACAGGGCTTTAATTTATCATTAACTATTCATATATGGAACATAATTTATTATGAATAAAGTTTAATAAAATGTGAGAAAATAAGATTATTTTTTTTAAATTTGTATTTCCGTCTGACATTTTAACTGTGAATGTCATAATACTGTTAGGTTTTACTGCAAAAAAATGCACATATTTGTAATCAGCGATGTCTCACGAGTACAACAGTACCACCCATTAACAGGTTTTATGGTGTTTTGGAAAGTTACAGGGTCAAATATAGAACGTTCCATTTTCAAATTGAAATTTGCCAGATTAGTAATGTTACCTTTGAGACGGTGCGGTAGCCCAGGAATGAGAATTACCCCCATAATAGCATACCATTTGAAAAAGTAGACAACCCAAGGTACTGAAAGTGGGGTATGTTTAGTCTTGCCACTTAGTCATAAACACTGGCCAAAGTTAGCGTTCATATTTGTTTTTGTGTGAAAAAAGCAAAAAAACTAATATTTGGCCAGTGTTTGTGACTAAATCACGATTTTGCAATTGCGCTTGTACATTCTATTGTTACGAATATCTATCAAATTTAATTTAACTTGAGGGGGGGCTAACTCGTAGTCACGCCCACAAAGTTAAGTAATGAATAACGCCTCTTGAGTGATAGACCTAACGAAAAAAACAGTTGATCTTACCTGATCTAACGAATATCTACCAAAATCAATAAAAATAAATTTCAAATTTCACTTGAGGGGGGGCAAACCCGTAGTCACGCCCACAAAGTTAAGTAGTGAATACTGCCTCTTGCGTGATAGATCTAATGAAAAAAACAGTTGATCAAACCTGATCTAATGAATATCTACCAAAATCAGTAACATTTTGTCCAAATTTCAGTTGGGGGGGGGCCAGCCCCCCCTAATTATATATGCAATATCTCAGTAATTAGACTAGATCTAACAAAAATGTTGCCTGATCAAACCCGATCTAACGTAGAGCTATCATAATCAACAACAATTTGTACAAATTTTTGTTGAGGGGGGGCTGGCTACTGGTTAGCCCCCCCTGACAATGATTGTTAATATTGCATATTTTAGAGTAGATCTAGCGAAAAAACATGTTGATCAAACCTGATCTAACAAAGATCTAACAAATGGAATAATCTTTTGTTAAAATTCTCAATATGGGGGGGCTAACCCGGGGGTGGTCACATTTCACTTAGTGCAGGTTTTCTCAGTTACCTTTACCAGCCACCGGATTCCTAGCGGCATAGCCACTGTCGGGGGGGGGGGGTCTCTGCGAATTCTGCAAAGATCCTAGACGGTGACAGTGCAGCTTAAATATAGTTTTTTTTTTCTGGTTTAGGCTTTGAGTGTTGTTGCTTGAAGGGTTATTTGCAGAGTACTCACCCTCCTATGTCTCCTAAAGAACAGTCAGTCTTCTATGATGATAATTTTATAGCTGTAAGAGCTGTTGTACAGTGTTTTTCACTAAGGGCTTCCCCTGCTCCTGCAAATTACTTCCCATGTGATGGCAGATGGGAAGTGATCCCTTCCACTTCCTGTCTAACCTCACACAGACACTAGAGGAGCTGGGACAGCACTGGGTTTTACACCATCTATGACTGTTTCTGCAGGTCTACTATTAAGGCTGACTGGATTACAGAGGACACTGGCCAAGGCTTCTGGTACTTATCTCTCTCCACCAGCTAATTTAAGCTCACAAAGACACACTATAAGTGCCAAATAGAGGTGTCCCCTAGTGGACAAGCACCTGTAGGCAGGTGACTACTCTGCCTTTTGGGATATCCATCCCTGTCAACAGCAGCACAACAGGGGAAGAGCAATCACAGTTTGTGAGGTGATGTGAATCAATGCTTTCCTATTTGGATTTAACGGACGCTAGATGTGCTGAAGTGGTCTGGGTGCCTATAGTTTCCCATTAATGTGTCATGAATTTATCAAAGAATTGCATATTTTCAGCATTCAGTTGGTGTCTGTCAAACACACAAAGTACACTTCACTGATGTTGCTACACCCCTTCTCAACACCATGCTCCCCATTATATGTAGTTTCCTCCCAATGTATATATTCAGCCCTTAATATCTATTTGCACTGTATACCTTTGTGTACACCATGGTGACCATGCAATTTAATTGTGGTTGCTATAGCACTTTTTATTATGACCCCAGGGTATGTCTTTCCAGACGAAACAGACATTTTTCATTAGATCAGATGAAAAAAAAATTTGCATAGATTTTCATGCATTTTCTATATAAGAATAAAAAATGGGGGTCAACTGCATATGGAATGCAACTAACAAGTCCCTCTTGAGATCAAAATCCATTGGTATATCAGGTTTTTAAATTTGAAATTAGATTAAACGTTTAGAAATGTATTTTTAAGATGTGCCAACATAACTCAAACACAATAATTGCCAGTTCTCTGATTTGTGAAGCAGTGCGGTTAACCTTTACATTCCTTATAATGTCACAATAATGTGTTCCAGACACACAATCTAAATCCACTTATTGCTATTAACTCTATTCATTATGAGGCCAATATTAATGAGCAACAACTAATTCCAGTGGCATACATCTATGTACACTCATGTGCTGCAGACTGCAATTAACTCTGCATTCCTTATTAGCAGTAAACCATATCTCTGTATCCTGTATCAAATCTTTCCAAATTATATGAAGCCTTTTCTGTGTGACCAGCTGGAGTGAGAGACCCAGAAGGGTTAAGAATTAGGAATGGGTAACTGGCCTTCAAGGAGGTAGGAAGGCTCATAATGGACTTAGCCCAACTGGCATCAACAACTTCACTGCAATATCATGAGGGCTATCTTACCAAGGGCAGCAAGAGTTTAAAAGAATGTTATTTGCATGGAGAGAGAGAGAGAAAATTCAATTGTTCTGGAGACCACTCCATTTTTTCTTCAATCAGCATCTCTACATAAGTGTCAACCAGGTGAAGCAGTGCCTTATGCAAGGTAGACAATGGAGGACTCTATCAACCCCTAATACTGGATGCTGTCACTTTATTGCACTTTAACTACTTGTATATTTTTTAAACATCGTATCTTTAACTACTATTTCTTTGTCACTGTAACAACATGCCTGGGCGTGCTTGTTCTTTATTATATGTGTGTATATATTTGTGTACATAAATATATATATAGGTGTATATATATGTGTGTGTGTGTGTGTGTATGTGCTTATTCATACATACATACATACAGGCCCGGACTGGCCATCGGGCATACCGGCAAACGCCCGGGGGGCCGCGATGGCCGTGGGGCCGAGGCCGGCAGGGGATCTCCCCGGCCGGCCCCTGCAGGGCCAGCGCTATCCAAGCGCCGGCCCTGCTGTGTGCCTCCGTGGGCCGGTGGGGAGATCAAAGGGAGATCACCGGCCCACAGGCAATTATAACCAGCCGCCAGCAGGAGAGGGAGGTAGGCAGGGAGGAGAGAGGACCCGGCGGAGCTCTAACAAGCAGCTCCGCCGAGTCCTCTCGCGGGATTCTGAGCGTTGC